TTTGAAGATTCAATGGTTGAACGTAAATTCACAGTCAAAAGTTGATCCCATTTGTTGTCAATAATTCAATTCAAGTGCTGAAGTGTTTTTCTCCGAGGTTTGTAATAATGCTCCCAGCCTCCCAGGTATTTTTCGCATTTGTTCTAGGTTTAACCAATGCTCCAACTCCCAATTTAGTATTTTATTTTTTTATCTATTATGCAGCATGCTGACCCACTTAGCCCGCGGCGGTGTTGGGCCGTGGCTTCCATTTCACAGGCCCGCCGAGATGGCGGGCCGGCCTGTGCTGCCCCGCCAAACGGCGGGTTTTGGCGAGCTGCGGACCGACCCACCCCGCCGGCCCGCTTTTACATGTCTATCTGTAGAAGTAGATTGGGTTGCAGGTTGGCTGGATGAAGAACCCTTCGACCCAAATTTTCCTTCCATTGCTTTCTCCACTCTCCATACTGCTACCTTTCTCTATAACTTCAATCCTCTGCACAGTGTCTGTCCAAGTGATCTATCAACCACAGTAAAAACATATATCGGCCAATTTTTCATACTGAAAACACACCATAACTTGTTGATCATTCAGTTTCATGTGAACACATCTTGCTAGAGCTTTCTTAACATCAGTCGTCACCAAAAGTATCAGAAAACTCCCTCTTGTTCATCCAGCTTTTATCACAGCAACATTTTTTTGTCTTTTCTTAAACATCTTCCCTATTTTAGAACTAAGCCAGTTAAGGGGTAAATTATTCACTTGCACCCACAGGTTAAGTTCGGAACAACCAATTTGACTTTCTGTAAGTCCCTCTTCCCTTTCCAGCACGATCAGATACTGATCTCAAATATCAAATTTACCTAATTCACCACTTTCTTCTTACCATCGTTACTCCCGAAGATGAACTGAAAGAAATTAGTACTAAGTTCCCTTACCTCCATCTGATTCTGTATCTGCCAAATCGCTGACATTGCCCTACGGATTCCGATTAGATTCGCTTTCCTCTCACCAATTATTTTCCCAAACAAGCTCCTTGAGCACTCCCCTTCGCTTGCCTTGATGTCTTCCACCCCCAACTCGATTGTCTTGTTTTTCACAGATCCATTTTCTTCAAACGGTCCCCTAGCTCATCCGCTTCGCCAATGAACTAGGAAGAATCCTCCGGAGACCTGCACAATATAAACCAAAATAAGCACCCCCGCAAGATAGACGAAAGGAAAACTCTAAGCCACCAAACTATAACCAGAAAAACCTCAACTATCCCACCCAACGAGACGAAGTCTAGAAAACCTAGCAACACAACTCAGAACGCTAAGAAAAAGACAAGAAGAAAGCTCTTGGGGGAGAGAATCAAGGAAAGAAGGGGAAGAAATGAAAACTAGGGTTCCTCTCACAGAGATAAATTTCCTCTCACGCATTGAAAGCAAAGGAAAGAGAAGGGTGACCTTAGGATTCAATAAGTGTATTTCTCTCCATTTTCTCCAAACATTGAGCACACCTTTCTGGAACCTCCACCTTTCCACGCTCTTCATTCCTGATATCGCCCGCAGGAATATGCTCGATTGTCTCCCGCTTCTGTCACCGCCATTTTGTCTCTGTGCCATCTGCGCCACCACCACACTACTAGGACCACCGTAAGTTAAATTTGAAAACCTTCAGTTCATACTTGTTTGATTTATGGATAGTGTAGGTAATAATGGGGGCAACCTAATGAATTTGTCTTTGAAGTTTTGCCTGAAAGTTCACAGCACGTTGATAATCTTTGGTTGAGGATTTCTTATTCTAAGTTTCAGGAAGCTAAATAATATCTTAAGCTCGTTTTATTCTCAGTTTGCTTCCTGCTAGGTTATCTTTTCCGTTCAGTTTTTTCGTCTTTGTTCAATCTGCTACTTATCCAACAATTAATTGTTACTATGACCTCGCTATTTATTTGTGTACTCTTTTAGTTTTTTGCTTTGTTGATGGATATGTTAATTGAATGATTCCTGTGAGGATCACTGCCATGGTTCATTAGAAATAATAATAATAACTCTTGTTGTGCTGCATGTTCTGTATTTCTTGTAACTGAAACTACATATTCTCCTCTTTATTTAATTACTTGGTGATTTGAGACCTCATGTTGTATGGTCAACTATTTTGCAGCACATTCCCATTTATGAATGGCAATGCCTATTTTTTTTTGTGTGTGTGTTAAGTATAACCGGTTCAAGTAAAGGAAAAAATAGTTGCTAGGTGTTTGTGCCAATGGGAACTCTTAAAACTTTTCAAAAATTATATGCTAGCAGATTTCATCGTATACTATACAAAATTTAAGAGGGAAGTAGAATTGTATATGCCTCAAAAAAGAGGTAACTCGCTCTGTTCTTTTATTACAAGTGAGGATAATACTCTATTATTTCCAGCTGATGTTACCATAATTTCTTTCTGTTTCTTTTGATTTATGTATTTCAATATGGTTTGGATTGGTATTTAGGTTTATCCGGCTTATTCAACCTGCAAATTAATTTGCCTGAAGGGTTCAGCTGAAGCACTGTAGCAAGAGGCAATAGCAGCGTGTTCCTGTTCATTTGGAAGGTCCGATTCTCCACTAATAATCTTTTTTTTTTCTTGTTTGTGCTTGGGTAGTTATATATCTATCTGGTTTGTTTTATAAGTTGCGTGATTATAGAATTCTGTTTTTGAAGTTGTCCACTGATATTTGGATGAAAAGTTGATTCTGTTTGAAGTTGATATGGCTTTGTTTTAAAGATGTTACATTACTACACCATTTATTTGAGGATTTCTCTAGTGCACTGTGGTGGGGTTTTGACCCATACAAATTTAAATTAGTAAGTGTAATGAGTATACATAGATTACCTAAGATTTGAAAATTGTTGAAATGATTTTTCTGTTGAAAATGGACATGGAAAGAAATTCCAGAATCTTCGAACGGGACAAAACTAAAAGATAACTCACACACTTCACACAACTTCAAATGTATCCTAATTTATAAACTGACCACAACCATTGAGATGGGCCTTCATTCGGTTGTTGACAAAGCTAAGACTAGTAACCAATTCTTGACCTTAATCATTGTTTGGGGCAAATGAATTTTTTATTTCATTTAAAGAAACTTACATAATTCTTGGTTGTGATTCACCTGTCTTTATAAGAATACTTTACTCAATGTATTTCTCCTATAACTATTTGTTTGTTTTTAATCCTTAACCTTTGAAGCTTCATGCAAATTGCTTTGCTTATTTGGAGTTGCCTGGTAAAAAGATACTCTAGTCCAAGTATATGAAATTGTAAAAAATCTTTGAAGCAAGACACATTGTTTTAGTATGCTTACTAATATATATTTTTTTTTACTTGAATCCACAAAACGAAGCAATTTCACTAAATAATAACAAGTCTTTCTCATAGAGACAAGATTGTAAATATTTACCTATTCTTTTATGTTAGTTCGGTGGGGTTTTATTTATGAGGAATATGTGTGGGCTAACTGATTAGCTAGATAAGTGGTCCAAGTGAAGATGGAATAAAATTAACGTTATCCTATATCCATTATGTGTTTCCACGATACTTCTCCATACGTTCACCTTATTGTTCATATTGGTGTGTTCCTATTTTTGTTTCTTTTTCTTGTTATATTTGCTTATTTATGTCATCCTTATGTGTTTTATATTATTTTATTTTTCTTTTTTTCTCGAATCAGGAAGAATATGGAGTGAAAAGAACAATAAAACGAAAGATAGACTAGAATTCCTTAAAAGGTACTCAATAAGGGAAAATTCTTGCTCTATACATCGAAACTACATACAGATCCTCACAATCTTAAGGTGACATGTGAGCCATGGGTACTTGGTCGGGTTCAATGTAGTGCGATTGCAGAACCTGAAAAGGTAAAAATAAAAATAAAAAATGAATGTCTAAACATAAAGATGTTAACAACAAGACTTTAGAAAAATCTACCAATTGGCATTTTCAGACAAGGTGCAACTGACGTGAGTAACTAATCCAACTTCAACTTGTGAGATTACCAAAGTTAAGAATAGAGCCATCCTCGACGGATAAGCCCAACTTCATTCCCTCAGCTTTGAAATATAGACAGAGGTATATATGAAAAGGTTGAGTAATTACTTAGACGGCATATGTAAGTATATACATGTCGAGTGAGATGAGACGACGAGACTAATTAACCATTTAACTACCAGTACTTTAGTCAAGCCACTTCAGATGGCAAAGGCTACTAATAAATCGTACCATGCTTTCATTTATGCGGTGGTTAAATTGAATTTGTGCTCCATTCGTTGGTGCACGAAAGGTGCAAATGTGCATATGAACAATCAAACACCTCGTTAGTGATGGAGCTATATGACTTGTATCTTATAACAGCTATATGACTTGTATCTTATAATCAGGATTACTAAAGTCTGGTAGATTATGTGGGAACTCCATCGTTGTCATTGTCAAAATAAATTGTAAGTTTTGAATAAATTGATCGTGCTCCTAACGATATGATAAGCTCCTGGAGGATCGGAACCAGCAAGCAACTTTTAAAGAGCCTCGTCTGTCTCATATGTATATACAGTGAAGATGGCTCAAGCAATCACCAAATCATTGCCTTTTGAAATCACTTTGCCTCTTTCATATGTATACAAAAATAAAACTACCAAACTTATTCTCTCTCTCTGTTACGAATGAACATGAAAGTCCTCTCAACGTAAAATTGCAATCAGTTATACACCTAAATAGGTCAAAATACATAGGAAATATAAAATAAAAAAATATAACACATCTGAAGTATAAAATAAAATAATATACTTACATATACTTATATAAAATACTTACATATACTTACATATAGAACATTTTTGCACCCAACTTTAAATTTTGACAAGTAGACATCTTGATAAAAACAATACACAAATGCTGTCTATTTCTTCTTCAAAAACAAGGACCAGATTTATATAAGTTTAGACAATGCTCCCACCAAGGTGCAAATCCTGATCAACAACAACGGCCGAAGAATAATTATTCATGGGCACATCTACAGTCTTTTGAAATAACACATTCTCATCATTCTATAAGAACATATATCTATTAAATCCATTTAAAGAGGACATAGAACAATGAATAAGAAGTTTCGGGATATTAGCATCACATGTAATGCAAAGCAAATACAAAGCACGTGGGACAAACACATAATATAAACAATGATTCTAGATCTTATCCACGTTAATAAGAAACAACAACGTAATTATCAGCAAATTCCTTTATTATAGTATCCAAAAACCAAAAACCCACAACCCACACAATTTGTAGCTTCAACCATGAGTTAAAGACTTCTACATTTTTACTTCATGAGACTTCCTTTCCCTCTTTATTGCACAAGAATCTGCGTGACCTAATGCCAGAAGTCCATTTCGTGTCAAATTTGTATACCTGCAATTGACACTCCACACTCCACAGATGCTCTCTCAAATGATGCAATTTTGTTGCACACATCAACCTTTGATAGAGAATCAACTTCAAGGGGATTGAAGAATATACCCATCCTCTACAACACCTTAGGATTCCTCAAAAGGTACTCGACAAGGGAAAATTCATGCTCGAGACATCGAAACTGATAGATCCTCACATCACAATCTTAAGGTGATGTGTGAGACACGTTGGAACTTGGTCGGGTTCTATCCATTGTAGAGCGGCTGCAAGAACCTATTCTCGCGTGAATGTCATGTTGTTCACAACAAGACATTGGAAAAATCTCTCTCGAAGAACAAGCAATTTTCATTTTCGAACAAGATTCAACGATTTTTCCTATAAGTGAGTAATCAATTCCAACTTCAACCTCAACCTTGGTCAGATTACCGAAGTTAAGAATAAAGCAATTCTCGACCACTAAGCCCAAATTCATTCCTTGGAAATAAATGAAACTAAAGTTTGACAAAGTATATATGAAACTAAAGGTTGACAAACTACTTAGAGGGTATATGTATATACATGCCGAATGAAATGAGACGACAAGACGAATTAACTACCTGGTTATAGTCCGTCAATACTTCAAGCAAGCCACTTCAGGTGGCAAAGGGTACTAGGAAACCGTATTATGCTTCATTTTTGTGATAGTTAAAGTAAATGCGTGCTCCATTCAAGGAGCTGGGACACGAAAGGTGCAAATGTGTATGTGAACAGTCAAAAACCTCGAGCATTGTTAGTGATGGAGCTATGAGTTGTATCCTGATTAGCATCATCGAAGTCAAATTCTTCTGGGAACTCCATCGTTAAATTTAGCAAAATAAATGGTACCCTTGCCCTTATTAATAAAGCTCTTCGAGGACTAATAAGCTCCTCGAGGACTAGTGGACTCGACCAAAAATAACTTCTGTAAGGGCCTCATCCATCTCATATTCAGGTCTATTTTATGCTCGCACAATCCCTCAGGTCAAACTTTCAAGCGTTTTGCACTCAAATAATGCTTTAGGCATGTTTGTCTCGCGGTAGAGGTACATGTCAACATCCTTTACTCCACGTCCGATGGCACCCCGTAGAATCGTCTCTGGTTCAAACTCGCCAAATCTATATGAGTCATGAATTGAAAATGCATTCAAATTTTGGTCCTTGATTTCGCGTTCCATCATTTCCTTGTTTATGAATTTTGTAAACTCAATCTCTGAGTCGTCATAATCTGTTTTATCAAAATAAGATAAAGTGGGTGATGTGCCCACAAAAACCTCCATTAATTCCCAAGAACACTCGTCGTGACGCAATCCTCAACTGGGAGGAAAAAGAGAATGTTTTGTTAGGACAAGTGTTCTTGGGAAAAAAATGGAGGTTTTTGTGCGCACATGACCCCACTTTATTCTTCGATGTAACAAATTATAACGATTCAAGGATTGATTTTACAACTCCATAAACAAGGCAATGATTGAACGCGAAATTAACGGTCATCAAGGCCAAGACATTTTCAATTCATTCCAATGACTCATATAGATTTGATGTGACAGAGTTTGAACAAGAGACGATTCTACGGGGTGCCATCGGACGTGGGGTAAAGAATGTCGACATGTACCTCTACCGCGAGACAAACTTCCGTAAAGCATTGTTTGAGTGCAAAACGCTTGAAAGTTTGACCTGAGGACTGTGCGGGCATACCCGATAAAGTAGACCTGGATATGAGACGGATGAGGCCCTTCAGAAGTTACTTTTGGTCGAGAGGAGCTTATTAGTCCTCCAAGAGCTTTATTAATAACGGCACGATCAAGGGTCCATTTATTCTGCTAAATTTAACGATGGAGTTCCCACATGATAGAAGACTTACGATCAAGGGTCCATTTATTCTGCTAAATTTAATGATGGAGTTCGCACATGATAGAAGACTTTGACTTTGATGATCCTAATCAGGATACAACTCATAGCTCCATTACTGACAATGCTCAAGGTTTTTGACTGTTCATATACACATTTCCACCTTTCGTGCCCCAGCTCCTTGAATGGAGCACGCATTTATTTTAACTATCACAAAAATAAAGGCATAATACGGTTTCCAAGTACCCTTTGCACCTGAAGTGGCTTGTTTGATGTATTGACGGACTATAACCAGGTAGTTAATTCGTCTTGTCGTCTCATTTCATTGGGCAATATATACATATACCCTCTAAGTAGTTTGTCAACCTTTAGTTTCAAATATACTTTGTCAACCTTTAGTTTCATTTATTTCCAGGGAATGAATTTGGGTTGGGCAATATATACATATACCCTCTAAGTAGTTTGTCAACCTTTAGTTTCAAATCTACTTTGTCAACCTTTAGTTTCATTTATTTCCAGGGAATGAATTTGGGCTTAGTGGTCGAGAATTGTTTTATTTTTAACTTAGGTAATCTGACCGAGGTTGAAGTTGGAATTGATTACTCACTAATGAAGAAAATCCTTGAATCTTGTCCGAAAATGAAAATTGTTTGTTCTTGCAGCCGATCTACACTGGATAGAACCCGACTAAGTACCCACTTGTCTCACATATCAACTTAAGATTGTGAGGTGAGGATCTATCAGTTTCGATGTGTCGAGCAAGAATTTTCCATTGCCGAGTACCTTTTGAGGAATTCTAAGGTGTTGAGGATGGGTATATTGTTCGAGCCCCTTGGAGTTGATCGTCTATTAAAAGCCGATGCGCGCAGCAGAATTGTTTGAGAGAGCATCTGTGGAGTGTCATTGCAAGTATAGAAATTTGATATGAATTGTACATTGCCTTTCGGTGTGAGTTAGATTTTTAGTTAAAAAAAGATGCGAAACATAAACTGATTGTAATCAGTTTTATTTCTTTACCACTCCGGGTTAATGCTTTTCCTAGCAAAATACAGAGAATACATTATAGAAGGATTTCCTATTATCAATGGCTAAAGTTTGAGTATTCAATTTGCTGGTATAAATCATTCTTTTGTGTACTTTGTTGTAATTAACTTTTTTTCATGTACTCCACCAGTTGCTTTTGGTAGGATGTCATTTATATGATTATTCTTTTGACATAATCAACGCTTCTGGTTCTTGTAGCCCTTAAACTATCTTTGCAAGACGGTTCAGGAGTTCAAGCGAACCAGTCGGATGGGAATAAGCTTGTGAACATTTTTGTTTTCCGCCCAATGATGTCATGGTTGATTAATTATTATTTTATGTATTGAAAAGAAAGAGTTTATTATACTTCCTGGTGTTGTATTTTGGTTTGCTAGCAAGGACAGATCTTGAAGCTTAAAACTGGGGGTACAAAGAGTAACTAGAAAAACTACATATAACGATTATGTGATATCTGAATACATACAATTAGGACGGAAGGTATAGAGAAAGAATAACCATTGTTTCTTCCCTATTAGGTGGTGCAGCTTTCTTAGAAACAGCCCGTAACTTCTTATTCTTTGTTCCATGCCCTCTTTAACTACAGATGGTATATCCTTTTACAGGATGTTGAGAATGCATTGTTAAAGAAAGGCTCAGATATTCTTTTTCGACTGTTACTGTACTCAACACTGACATGTTGGATGCATCTGATGATCGTGATTCACAACCTGGTATGAGCATATGCTTATTGGCTAAGTTCGTCGATAAGTTGGTGACAATGTGTATTGTTTTGTTCTTGTAAGCTCATTATTTCTAGAATGTGCTACATGTTTCAAAATTATAAGGTGGGGGCAAAAATATCCTAGGAAAGAGAACTTTATGGAACAGATGACCTATTTAGGTTTTATACACTGATTGCAATTTTATGTTGAGTGGACTTCCATGTTCATTCGTAACAGAGAGAATAAGTTTGGGAGTTTTACTTTTGTATACATATGAAAGAGGCGAAGTGATTTCGAAAGGCAATGATTTGGTGATTGCTTGAGCTATCTTCCCTGTATACAGGGTACATATGAAAAGTACTTTTACTTTTTCCAACAACTATGAATTTGTTTTCTTAAATTATGTGAAAAACAAATAAGCTTATCTTTTTGGGATGGAAGGCTTAATAATATATTGTCGATCACGTGATAGAAGGGTTTCTTATTATAAGTGGCTGAAGTTTGTTTTATTTATTAGTTTGGATCATTCATAATAAAAAATTACTTCCCCTCCACCAATTGCTTCTGGTGGGATTGACTGAATGGAATTTTCTTCATTTGTTCCGACACTATCAATTGCTTCTGGTCCTTCCATCCTTGCTCAAGTAAGTGCTAAGATGGACATTTTTTTATTTTTTTATTTTTTTTTTTCCTTGGGACAATGTCACGGTTGATTATTATTCACTGTTGTATGTCGTGTTTACCTAACTTTGACAGCTTCCAAGAGCCGATCCAAATGTCGTTCATGCCAAAGATTTGTTGGCTCCAATGCAGAGTCTGTCTGAGGTAAAATTCAGCAGTTGATCTCTTAATTTTGGTTGAAGAAGACAAATCATGTTTTCTTTAATTTGAAGAGCATGAGCATCTCCAAACTTTGCGAATACAACGTTAATAGGGATATAGCGTGTATCAGATCCAGCAGATTATGCGCTGAATTTGGTTGTCAACCACGTTATTAATTTGCTTTTAATAGTTTTATTAAATAAAACGACATGCAATATTTCAAAATTTTATGTAATATATTTTTGAGAGGTAAATTTGTTTCGGCCGAGGAAGAGATTCATTTATCCGCAGGACACCACCTCACATTTTATTTTGTATATTGTTTTCGGTCTTTCGCTCTTACGAATAGAAAAATAATATCATGACATTTACCCTACAGATGGTGAAACCCTTTTGCTTTTCACGCTTTCATGGTCGTAGTGATTGCAATTTTGTAATCATATGAATATCTATAATCTGAATTTTTATTCCCAACAAGTATATATAAAATTGTGGTTTTAGAATCAAAATTTTATAAACTTAAATTAATTTTATCATTTTTTAGCTATTAATCATTTATTATAAATAATTTATTTTTTTATTTCAGATCAACTTAATAATTTGCATCTATAATTTTTGTTATTTCTTACATCTATTTAAAAATAATGCAGGTAAAATGACACCGAATATATGTGATTATTTTTCTCAACACTGGGAACTCGTATGCAATTAAGTCCAACCCACGTGAAGGTTATACCTACTCAGATACAAACACAAACATTAATTCCTAACTAGCGGTGCACTCCCAAAACAGAATATGGATGACTTTAGGGTTCATTGAAATATGGAGTACGCAATTTTTATTTTTATATTTATTTTTTTTTTAGAAAGGAATGAAAGTGTGTTGTATAAATTTTTTTTATTTTTTTTTATATTTATTCTTTTACTATTATTATTTTTTTGCTCTAATAATGAAGGATTTTACATTTTCCTGCGTTTCCACGTGTTTCCCAAGTCTCGCGGTGATCTCAGCACATTTTCTCCCTCTCAAGTCACCAACCAAAAATTGGTCTCAGTTTTTTATTATTTAGTTTTGATAAGTTCCTTGAAAATTGAAGCTATGAATATTATAAGGACTTCGTAAAAGTTGAAATATGTCATGAATCCAAGTAAACTCTTTTGTGGTCGTTAGATACGATTCTATCTAAAGTTTGTTGGATAAGGTTCTATCTAAAGTAATTTTGCAGATCAATANAGAATCCTATTATTCAAGTTCTATTTCTCATATATTTTTACTTATTAATCGTAGTTCATTTGTATAACTTCCTATCACAAATTTTGCACATATTAAAGAATTTATCTATCAAAAATAATATATCAATAAAATTTATCTATTAAGTTTACCTTCAAATTTAAATTTGAATGAGTTACTAGAACAATTTCAAATTCTGACATATTCATCTTCAACCTTCTTACTTTATGTACACTTTAATGTCTAGTTTAGTTTGAGATGAAATAACTATGATATAATATTATCATATAATTCACCCTATTGTTCATGAAAATATATATTGAATTTATGTTGGCTTGGATTCTTCTTTGTAAAGTTATCCTTACGACATTTGTAATGAACTATTATTATACTATTTTGTATCAAAATCAATTTATCCTCATATTTCAATAAATTATTTTGTAAATTATTTTTTGAATAGTTCTCTTGTCAATTATTGCGCACATATTAAGGGGAATGGGTGCTTGGATATGATAAAGGAAAAAATATACATTTATTAGGCAGAACGTGGCTCGAAAGAATAAAGGCACGTGTGTTCCGAGGACCGTTGGTGTCCAAGATCGGGAAAAATACATAACTAACCATGTATTAAGAAAATATTCTATAAAAATAGCACTCCCTCTACAATTCTAAAATTGACTCAGTTCATACCAAACATTAAAAAGTAACGGATTAAAAACAACTGCTCTCCATAAACTGTTTTTCTCTCTCTTCCTATTTTTTCTTCTACTTCTTTTTTCTTACTCTTCTCACGTTCTCTCCTTCCGTTTTCTTCTTCTTCTTCTTCTTCTTCTTCAAATATGAATTTCTAAACACAAAAACAACTAAAAAAAATAAAATAAAATAAAATACAGAGCCCGCCCGCTGGGCCTCCTCAACAGAGGTAACAAAATAATTGTATATGCCATGAAAAAAATTGTAGATATTGGTGTACGGCGGTGTACTCGGATTAACTTAATTCGAAAATTTTTTATCTGCTGCTCGAGTTAAAACCATTCAAATTTAAGAACAAGAAAAAAGATGAAAAAAAAAAAAAAATCTAAATCCTGCCGAAAAGAGAAGAAGAATATGAAAATGGATTTGCAGTATTTTGCAGTAATAATAACTGTCAGAATAATATGAAAAGTCATGCCAGTTACAAAATTAAAAAATTAAAAACAAATAAAAAACCACCTCACAAATTTATAAAACCTACCTTCGTCCATTAAAAAAGTGTATATGTAAAAGAAAGGAGTAATCTTGTCTAAATAGTGAATAAGGGTATGAATGTAAAATGTTTAAGGAGAGAGATAGATGGTGTCATTATTTCGTCCAAGATCAAGGCCGAGACCCAACTTCAACGTAGGCCTAAGATCCCCAAGAGCCTCACTTTAGGCCCAATGTCCTGAAAAGCCTTACTTTAGGCCCAAGGTCCAAAGGTGGACCATAGTCTACCAAGTTAGTGGGCTGAGAAGTCCTCTGTCTGCACAGGGAAGACCTAAGTCATCCGATCTCTATAAAAGGATGACCTAGGTCAAAGTAAGGCCACTCACTCTCTTCTACCCAATACTCTGCAGCTATCACCCCTAAATCTAAAACTGATTCTAACTTAGGCATCGAAAGATCTATCCATGAGGACAAACCCGGGGTTCTGTTTTGCAGGCGTCGGAGCAAAGGAGAGGCACCAAGGAAGACGTCGGAGTATACATCGTCGCCACATGTCCTCGGACTAACATCAGGTATTTCTTGTATCATTAGAATATAAGATTTTTTATTTTGTTTGGTTTTTTTTTTTTTTTTTTTTTTTTGGTTAATTTTGAAAAAATATGGTATTGTTGATTGTTAGTGATATTTTGAATTCATATTAAAATAATATTTATAATAAAATAATTAAAATTGATTTAATATATAAGTAGGAAAGAAATGATATGAGGTGATAGTGAGTTAAAATTGGATGAGTGGATGAATTGAATTAAAATGAATGTAATGTGTAAGAATGATGATTGATATTATTTAATTATGTTGATAAAATTGAGGATAGTAAAATAAAGTTAAATTTTTAATTAAAAAGAAAGTGATTAAACTAAAAATGAAGATTTTTGAGAAAATATTGTATCCAAACATCCTAGACTAACTTTCAACTCAATAATATTAGTGGTGGTCAATTTCTCCCCTTGCAAGTTATCCGAAACTTGAAAGCCAGCTAACGTCAAGCCAGTGCTTCTAGAAACTAGAATTCGACTTTATAATATTAACTACAACAGTGTTTTAAATATTAGTAGTAATTTGATTCGCAATATATGTAATTAATTTCTTGTACAGTTGTACTCATCATAAACCTGCTTAAACATCAGAAACTTTAGCAATTTCCACACCGGTCAAACCTTAATTCCAGCAATTTCTTGGTAATTTATGGTAAATTTGTAGTGATGACCTGTTTTGGTTTTACTTATTTTGTCCGCCACAATCATTTTCTATATTTATTCATTTAATTATTATTACTCTTGGCTTTACAAAGAATCTTTTCCGTATATACAACTCCACAAGCATTTGGAACCCAATTGATGGTCCCCATTTGAGTTGAGCACTAGCCCGCCAATGTGATCAAGATTAGTAGGGTGTTTGGCAAATATGAAGGACTGATAAAAGGGAATTACTTTGATTACAAATTCACTAGATCTAATTATTAGTATAAAATTATTTTACTATATAATATGATACTATTATTCGCATTATTTTCCAATTCATAATATTTACTTATGAAATTAAGTACTTCTCTGAAAAAAGAAAAAAGAAAAAAGAAAATCGATGAGGCTGCGTAACTTCAACTTTATTATAGTCTCATAATAGGAGTAAAATGTGTTTTTCGATTGGAAGGATGGAGCTCGGGAATGATAGGCCAAGAGATGTGACGTGTGAGAAGTCCTCGATCGATAGGAAAGTAAGTATCAATATGGGATGTACACATTAATTATCTGATATGCATGATAATTAATTAGTTGCTTATTT